ACAATTCCGTAGGTGGAACATGGTGCGAGATCGATGGAGGACAGATAATACCGTGTCATTGTCAGCATTCGATCAGAAACAGAGTCGACTGTGGATATAATAACCAGTCGTATCAGAAACACGCAGTAAGAGGGTATTCAAAAAGAAAGAAAAAATCATTCAATATTTTTATGACACATCGGATACACTGCACCGAGTAAAAAAGCCTTAGTAAACATAGATAGAAGAGTCAACTGTTTAGGAGATACAGGATGAGTCAGTAAGAACTATTATCTCAAATATCTCGTTACTTATTCGTTGTATTAAAAAACGTTCTAAATCAAGTATTTTGTATTTGAAGGGACTTATCAGATGGATGCAATTTAATTTTTTGTATGTCATATATTCTGAGATGTTAAGGTAATCTTTAGCTTTTTAAGTATTTTTTTTAATGCTGCGTTGTAGCCGATAAAAAGACGAACTCCACGACCTATAGCAAGATCTAGGGGAAAAGTTCATTGATCTTGAAAATACTCTAGGTCACCTTGATGTCTAAAACAATGAAATTGCATCCATTCGATGAGTCCCTATAAATGCAGCATAATTCATTTTAAAGAATTTTATCTATTAATCAATGGTCCTATTTTTCAAGATCTCAAAGTGATAACCAACAAAAAATCGAGTTCAACCAGGTGTGATATGCTAAATCGTCAAATGATCATTACCGTCCAGAAGCATACCCTTATAGAAAAACGAAACTAGGCCATATTTACATACCCCAGTGCAAATATGTACATATTTCAGATGTTCCAAATGATAACTGTGCGAAACACTCATTACCTACGCGCGCGCGTTTCTTTGGTCTGAATAAAGGAAAATTTTTATTCAACAAAACGGAAAGTTTATTAATCCCCGACGCGTATACTATCTGTTGACAAAACGACTGACCAGACAATGCACGAGCGAAACCAGCGACAAAGACCAACTCTGGAAGATTTCCGTCGCGTCAAACTATGGTAACGTAACCTCGACGCGCTGCGCCACAGAGCCCAGGCACCTGTAAACGGTTAACCTTTTGTCGCTCCGCTGACATCTCCGAAACGGTCGCTTCAAAGAGATTTCCTATTTTCTACGTCATCCAGTCAAAGCAACAATCACACATATACACGTATATATTGATTTTGGAAATATACCAAGTATGAGTGCACTTAACTCCTAAGTAATGACTTTTGATGAACCTTAGTATACATACAATGCTCTTTCTGTAGAATCTACCGATTCATCGATGTGAGGAGATAAGAAAACTATTAAATAAGACGAAATGTTCACTTTCTAAAGGGAATCATTTTGTTGTCTTAGAAATTGCTGGAAGTATTGCTCGTACTGTTACATATATAGTAAATTCTCAATGAGAGTTCGAAGGTTCCTCGGCAATCAGACTCTGCAGATTTTATTTGAAATGAGAATTAGAAATAATTATTTGAAATAATTTACCTCGAAACACTATTTTCAATACTATTATTGAATATAGTATACATTGATATAACCGAACGACAACCACCTTTACATTCATTAATTTTCATACCGATTATTCGCCTCGTTCGATATAAGTACTTTTTTTCGATACCAAGTATATATCGCAACCGGAAGTATCGATACTAAAACTACTCGGTATCGAAACGACAGTATCGATTATTTACTTCTATTTACTTGGATCGGTTCATCCGTTTCACCTGCTATTCCCATAAATGCATAAAATCTACAATCGACTAATAACCTCGCGAACTTGGATGTCACCCGGAAAAGAAATGAAAGAAAAAAAAAGCCAACAAAGCAAACAGCCCCCAGGAAACATCTCGAACGACAGATTTTCTTTGGTCTCTTGGTCGTGAATAAGTGGCGCGCACCACCTGTTACCTCGGAAGCTAAACAGCCGTTCTAATTAGGGGAATGAGCTTCTTTTTATCGCGGTGTTCCCGTGTACCGGAACGAAAGGGAAACCACGAATAAACATTTGCTGCCCCCCCCCCCACACACACACACCCACGGGTGTTTCGTTTCACGGGGCACGATAAAACAGAGAGCCACGGAGTACGGGATGATGGTATACCTGACCCGTTTCGCGTATATGCCAGACGTGCCTGGCGTGCTTTGGTAATTATTCGCGACTGGCTCGTACGTAATTACAGAGGGGTGGAGGGCCGAATAAATTCGCGCGTGAACCGCAAAACGAAACGCTGCTCCCGAGGCCAACGATCCCGTGATACACGTAATTAACAAAAAAAAAGAAAAACAAAATGGCTACCACGGATTATTTCGTAATCCTGTCGTAATTCGAATGGCGAAAATATTTAGCTGGAAGGCTCGACGAGATCGTTATTCCTCAAATCGAGATTTATATGAAGACATCGACGCGAACGAGCGGGAAATAGAGGATCTGCTGAAGCAACGGATAATTCTGTGAGATCGTCTCCCGTTTTCTACCGGCCTACTTTAATATTTCGGGTAGCATCGAGTGGCTCGCGTGTAGGCCAACAGAAACGCGGCTGTTGGAATTTATCCAGGATTATAGTGGGTCCCGTCTAGTTATTGGCAAACGAGCATCTACGGAGATTTCAATAAGCTATAATAATATCGGGAACGGTGTGTCTGCCTACTACGCTTCTAGCCCTAAAAATACTGTTCCGTATTATGGAAATCGAGGCAGCTGGCGGAGATTGAACACTACAGGATCGTTCAAAAGGGATGTTTTAGAACGGACATTGTTTCGTGGTGAAATACACGTTGCTTAGAACAATTAACGGATCACTGCTAGGGATAAACCGATACCGTCAAGGATCGACAGTTCTACTCATACCTTGTATCGAAAAAAAGTATCGATAGTTACTTAGCATCGCATCAAAAGTATCGATGGCTACTTGTATTGAAACAGAATGAATACGAAGTTCTTTTTTTATTAATAGATTTTAACCAGAGGTTAGCAGAATTTTCTGAAAAGTGCAGAAAAATTGCAGTATCTAAGGGCGTCATCCTAAGCTTTAAATAGTTGATGAGATTAAATAATTGTATGCCAAGTGTTGACTCATTCAGGAAGTAGTATCATTTTGTTATAAAAATTTGAATTTATACGTTTAAACAATAAAAATGAGGAAACTCTTCATCTATATATATATTTCGACAATTAACATATTGATTGTCGATGTTTCACTACATTTGTAATAACACACAAATAATATTAAACATTATTAAAATATTTGTTTGATTGTATGTTCCAAGTTAAGGAATGCTATCATTAGTGACCGATGTTCGTGCGGTGTTTATCATTTAATGAAGAATCCGATATGGGATCTGCAATCGATTACGATTTCGAATTACAAGTTTCCACACGAACATTGAAAGTAACGTTTATCAGCGGCGGCTTCTTGCTGGGAAGTGTATTATTTTGTCACGTTCCGTTGCCAAACGCGTCGTAAAGGATACGGCGGCTCCTCTCACTCCATGCAAAGCACGTACGTTATTCATGGATACACTTTCAGACAGTTCTGTACATCCGAGATTTCGTGTATCCGACCGGAGCGAATAATACAGTATTCCGTCAGTATAAACGATCCACCCGGGAATCTCTTGAAACGGTTGAAACGGTACCTAGCGTTTTGAGAAGTGTTAAAGCATGAAACGATTAGCCGTTCGGAGTACGAACCACCCAGACGGGAGACTGGGTCAATCGTGACCCGTAACAAGATCTATTGGATAGGTGTACATATGTCAAATATACGTACAATGGGGTTATGCTACAACAAACTACAGTAAATCTTCGATGAGTGTTCGAAGGCTCCTCGATACTGCCAAGATGAGATCCCCAGGTGTAACACTGATTTTTTGATGAGGTTTATTAGAGTGATAGAGCTTAGAACGCTGAAGGCAATGATATTTGTTTCAGACGCACATGGCCATTAGTTTATGAAATTTTTTGATATTCAGTGCCGTGGAGCCTTCGAACACTCATCGAGGATTCACTGTACTTATCGGTACACCTGATACTTTTAGTGATGATGTTCGTTGATGGGTCACTCGGTGATTAAACCATAGAAACGTGAAGTTTAAGCTGTTTCGTTTACAAGGAGGTCGCTTTGGAATGTATATTACGGTCTGACTTCGTACATAGTTAGTGGTTAACGTGACTATCTGCGATTCGTCACGTTTCTGTACCTGTTCACGGCGAGTGCAAACATTGACACAAATGTAATTTGTTTTATGTCGGTCGTTATATCTCACTCACCTCGTCAGTTTAATGATACGTGATAATTGAGTGTTATGGAGAAATAAATCATTCTAGCAGATCAGAGATGAAAGACCTCGGATGGAGTCGGCTCGTTTCGCGTCAAAAGGAACTACAAAGGGCTTCCTTGAAGCCTTCGGTACTATTTTCAAGCGTGTCTTCATCAATTCATAAAAACTGAATGACAAATGGAGCGAAAATGATTATAAACCCTATAATGTTTACTTCTTGTATTGAGAGATTTATTATATTCAAAAGAAACAAATAGTTTATGTTGTTTTTCCAGAATTCTGGGTTTCACTTGAATAATTTTTTTAATTTATTCGAATAATCTTTAAACAGTTTTATGAATGTGAAAAGTTCGCAACTATCCGACTCGGAATAAATAAATTATAAATAGCGGTATTAACTTAAAAACAATTGTTGACTCAGCTGAAAGCTCAATAAATTAATATAATGCAATAAATAGTATCAGTTAATCCGAGAACACTTACACGAGAAACACTGTGCCTCGAGAGATATGTTCTCTCTCTACTTTTATGTTGGCACGAGTAAGCAATATCAACGAGTGTTGGATCCTTACTGACAAAAGTAAGATAACCGCCCACAGAATTTCACACACTTTTGAAATCAGTATTGCACCGGTGCAACACTGCGCGTTAAAGGGTTAACATTAATATAAAAAAAAAACCCGAATGTTAGTAAATTCCAGGAGTTAATCAGTTCCGTCATCTGTTCACAGGTGATAGACTTCGGCTCGAGCTGCTACGAGAACCAGCGCGTCTACACCTACATACAGAGCCGCTTCTATCGAGCGCCGGAAGTGATACTGGGCGCGAAATACGGTATGCCGATCGACATGTGGAGCTTGGGCTGCATCATCGCGGAGCTGGTTACCGGTTTCCCGTTGTTGCCTGGCGAGGACGAGGCTGATCAGCTCGCCTGTATGATCGAGCTGCTGCACGTGCCGCCGCCCCGTTTGCTAGAATCGGCGAAACGATCGCGACAGTTCATCAGCTCGAAGGGCTATCCACGGTATTGCACCGCCACAACTATGTCCGACGGCACGATCGTGCTGAGCGGTGGTTACTCGCGAAAAGGTAAACGTCGTGGCCCACCTGGATCCAGGGATCTTCGACGGATATTGAAGAACTGCGACGATCCGTATTTCTTGGACTTCATAAATCGTTGCCTGGAATGGGACCCGGAACAACGTATGACGCCCAGCAAGGCCTTAAAGCACGGCTGGCTGCGTCGACGATTACCGAAACCGCCTGAAAAAGCAGCCAGCAACGACAACGGTCTGCCAGCAGTCCCAGCAGCCGCTGCACCACCTTCGTCCACTACCGGTCTCCGTATCACCGCGTCTGGTAGTCGTAGCTCCAGCAAAACGAACAACTTGCAGAGCAATAACATCGAGAACACGACCAGGATGAAACAGCTGAACGACATGTTTCAGACGGTGAACACCATTTACTCGGCACTACAACGTAAGTACGGAGGTCAGCCAGGTCCGACGACAGCGGCGGCAGTCTCTACGAATCATCAGGCGACAGGGGTCACCGTATATCCGCCGCTGAACTCCGTAGCTAGTGGTAGTGTCGGTGGTACTGGTGGTGGTGGTTCTGGTGGTGGTGGTGGTGGAAGCAGTAGTACTAGTGGTGAGCAACAACAGCACGGCCATCAATTGCAGGGACAACAACAGCACAGTAACGGTTCACGGAGCTCCCACGGATCCCACGGATCCTCGCACGATAGCCACAGCTCGAGGATAGTACTGTGATCGACGCGATACCTTGCTAAACGGCTGCTGAACGAACTGACCGGTTGTTCGATGTGCACCGAGCCTTCCGTCTCGCAGGCTGGACGGCGACGTTCGTTAAGCTCCCCGTCCCGCTTCTACAGGTTCCCGTCGCCCCATCACGAAAACGATCTACGTTGCGTCACTTAGTCGAGAAGAACGTTGCTTTTGATGTTCACGATCATGGTCGAACGATCTAGAATCCGCGAGACCTTTTATATATATATATACGTATATACTCGACTTCGCGACTATTGGCATGGTCTGTATGGTAGCAATCGGTTGGTAACTGTTTCAGTCTCGCGTGTGGTAGTCTTGATAAAAGAGATCTAGCGAAGTCGTGAATTAGAGGATCAAGAGTGAAGGGACTAGGAATCGGGGCTTAGAGACCTGCTTCCTGAGTGAGCTACTAGATCAGTGATGTCCACGAATTTGGCCCCTTAAGTGGCTGACTGACGTTAGTGCAGTTGGTGGATGAGATATATCGAACACGTGACATTGACCCCCAACGATCAGCATTTTAACGTGGCCAGACCTAAACAGGTCTCTGACTGAGCCCGAATAATGCTTTGAATCTTACACACGGTGTCCCATTTCAGGGATTAATTTCTACAGTGAAACGAATGGAAGTCGAATTTCAGTTTAGCATTTTCTACGTTCGTGGATGAGCACCAAGACCGTTCCTTCTCATACTTCAGTGAAAAGGGTCGCGACCTGGGATGTTAAAAACATTTGTATGATCACCGAAAGATTCTTACAAATTTGCTAGATCTTGCTCGCCAACTGTACAACGCTAAACGGGAACCGACATGGGAAAGTGCCTAAGCACCAGAGCTTAGTCTCGACATCACTGTCCTAGATCCTTCTGAAACTCAAGTGGCGACGTTCACAACCGACGAATCTTACGACTTCGCCTGTGTCTCTTCCATAACTGCGTGTCACCTGAAAGGTGTCATGGGGTGGCTGCTCGACACTCCGCCTGTGATATAGCCGGTTGACGATCATTTATACTCACTGGGTAGCTGTACGTCTGATACAGGACCTATGTATAGCTCTCTCCAGCTAAGATTAACCCTTTTAGTGCGCCTGAGCGGCTAGGAAATAGGAGATCGGGCTATCCCCTAACCTCTGATTAGAGGAATTAGGTAAACAATAATGTGGATACATGAATATTATCGAACGAGCACATTGTAAACCAGATCGAGTCTCGACTAGCCGTCCAATTATAAATAACTCCTCCCAAACGGTCCATCTCTGCTCTTGAGAGCTATACACGAAGATTGCTCATGAGAAAGAAGCGTCCGAGAGAAGGAGATGGGGGGATGGAAGGTAACGACCTGGACTCAGCCGAGATTCGTGAACTCGAGTATCGTAGCGCCGCGTAGCCTGCCGTTGCCTAGTTGCGTCCTTGATGGTCTCGCGGGGACGGCTAGCGAGGTTATTGTGCCGGGGTGGGAAGCCGTCGAACCAAAGATTCGCGCAACGTCGATGAATCGACCGTCTCCAGGAGGCGTAGCCAACGAACGATTTATTCGGTCGACGACTCGGGGGCTCTGTCCGAGATCACCACCGCGGCCAGGAATCTAATAATCAAAGGGCACGTGCCCCCCCCCCCCCCGCCCCACTCCCTGGTGAATAGAGTGATCTGCCCCGGTCTTTTTAGGTCAGCCCAGATTCCTCCGTGACGCTGGCTCGATATCGGGCGAGAAGAGAACGTTGATTTCCTGTCCCTGCCACGAACAAACGTTTGTTATCGATCAAAAGGAGCCACCGACAGCTCTCTCCCTCTTCTCCGTCGCGTTTGTTGTCTCCTTTTCCCTTTCAATGGGACACACGAGCTCTAGCCAGCGGACGCACGAACTCTAAAGGCTCCCATAGACGATATGTTTTGTTGCACAGAGAGTTGGACAGACGGTTGGAACGACAGATTTTTCGCCTGCCGTATTGTCTACAAGTACGGCCGCGTCACAAACGTTGTAACTGTCGTTCAAATAGTCGAAGATTGTACGATCGGTTGTACGACAAATCGTATCGTTTTATAGGGCGTTTAAGCCAACGAACGAAGTCGATGCGTGTGTATTGCCCTCGGTCCCCGAACGATCCATCGAAGCGATACAACGTGCGACCATTTGTTTTTCTTTTAGTTTTCTTTTTATTATTAGTTTGTTAATCGATTAACGATCGACGACGACGGAGGATCTGGCTCAATTAGCTCCAGTTTTTCGGGAATTGCGGATAGATTCTAGGAATCAGGTCGCTAACGAGCCCCGCGAACGGTGTTCCCCCTTTGCCAGCGTGAAAATCGATTCTACAGGAATTACAACAATTGATTGAACGCTGTTTAATTATGCGGTATACGGTATGCGTGTTTAGTAATTTATACGGGACAGATCGTATACGTATGATTCTTAGGATCGATAAAGGACACGCTCAGATACTTAATCCCCACTCCTCTACCATCCGAACCACTGTCTTTCTAGTTCTGGGCATAATTAGAGTGATTATTCTTTCGTTATATTTTTTCTTTCTCTCTCGTTTGCCTTTGACTGCCTGCTGATTCGCCCGTTTTTTTTTTTAATCGTTATCGCGTAGCTTTAAGTTTCAATCGGCGTCACGATTGTTTGTTTTACGTGTAAATACTCGACGACTGTGTTCTGCATTTTATCACTGCCTTTTTCTTCTTCTGTGTTCTTTTTAATAGTATCTTCTTTTTTTAGTCGTTCCTCTGCTTGTTCCTATCTAGCGGCATTTATGATTTGATTTACCTGGGTGGTGCAATTAAAATATACATTTTCGACGATCCATGCTTGCGTGTGATCGAAACAAAAGTAGCGTGTGTCGGAAATGACATTAAAAGATACAGCGCGAATGAAAATTGTTGTTCTCTCAGGGTCGATGCTTGTGTGTATTCGATACTATTAGCGTTTTTATTATTTTAACAGATACCGTAGGATTTTTAATACTTAAGGGGAGAATACTTCGTGAAATAGTCGATAATTGAGCTATACTTAATTAATATACTTACGATATAACTTTAGACGCGATCCAGTCGAGAGATTAAATATTAGGTTGTTGCATGTGAAACAATCCTCGAAGGTTCGTAGATTCTTTTTAAGACTGCATATATTTAATCATTTTTTAAATATCATTTTATCCTTCTGAGAAACGTGTGAAACGTCGCGTTACATTTTACACTGCGTTTGTTTTATTGTCCTTTTAGTGATTTGAACTTTTCAGTCGCCTTTGTTCATTTTTTTTTTAACCGATTAATTTTTAACCGTACACCTTTATCAGTGAATAGATCATCTCACTTTGGAGAAATCTCATATGGCCCTTTTTCAAGACACCATTTTGAGAAAATGGCGTCGGAAGTCCTAATCATGATTATTTCATGGATCTGTATTTATTTCAGATAGTTTGATTTATTCAGATGTTTCGCGGTAAATAATACAGAAAAAGAATTTTTTTATATTCTTAACATTTGCCGTAAGTTTCCAACTGGAAAAACCGATATTTTATACGCAGCAATTTCATGAAACAGTTTTATATGCAACAACTGTCACCCGAAACACAGTATTCGCATCACTAGACTCCGGACGTTTATGCAAATATAGATTTTTTCCGAATAATTTATAAAAGATTTGTTTACTTTATCAAGGGTTCTACCGGACTCCAAAATCAATAAAAACCTCGTCAACCCTCCTACGGCCTTCAGATGTTTTCTGACCCAGTAACACTTCATCTTTACAACCTTATTATGGTCCTCCAATATTTTCCGACCTAATTGTGTTCTTATTTCTTGAAAAACTTCTCTAAACTCGACAAAAATATCACTAACACGTATGCTCCTCCATATTATTACGTGTACCAATAATCTACTATTTTCTGCCAGAATCAATACTCCCGTCTAAGGAAACGAAAATAAACACACTATACTATCAATATTCATACTCAGCTCATAACAGCCTACACCAATTTACTGAGCTAAAGGCCATGAAGTTATTTTTACTTGGAACCACATTTGGCGTGTAATTTAAAAGACGACGGTTTATATATTAGTAAGCCTAATAAATCTGATCCGAGGGCCGTAGCCGAGCTAACCCGTATGAAGTCCAAACAAATGATAAAAGATACACAATTTCTTTTATACTTGTAAATATTCTTATTCGAAACGAAGAATTTATAAAAGGAAAACACGTTTTAACGTACCTTTTAAATAATCACGCTGTGCATGATTAATTTTTACATATTTCGATACTTTTATTGCTTGATCCACACAATTCGAATAATGTATCTTGTAAAATAGCGAAATGAATTTTCTGTAAGCTGTTTCTGAGTCCACGTCATACCGATTTCAAAAGTAAATCAGACTTTTATTTTAATATTCACGATTCGTCCTCTTACCCGAGTCTTTCTCGTGCCACACGATAGAATGGTTAAACCATATGCAATACCGATACACTGTCGACAGTGTCGTAAAGTATCACATAATTCTACAATTGTATAAAATCTGTAGTCCCCCTCTCATACGACGTTCAAAACACGGGGAAAAAATACACGACCGAAAAATGTGTTTTAACTGCTCCATCCCGTTACAAAGGATTCCACGGCGAGGAATCTGATCCATAGTAGCGATGAAACGATACATAACCAGAAGTAGTGATGGGACCAAGCTGAAAAACTTACAAGTATCAACCGATTCAGTGTCCAAGATTCGTATCTATTGCTCACCGTTGAACGAGCATGATTCGTCTCCATATCGCGCCTTGATCCCATCACTGGAATCGAAACGTGTCAGAACAATAAAAAATGGGCACGTTTACGTACAGCATTTAGATGTTTCCCGTACGGTAAAATTCCAGTGCGATGCATTTAATCGAATCGCATTTATCCCTCTGTCTGTCGAGAACGAACTGAAAAATCGCGTCGAAATTCGCTTGGGGCAATCTCTGTACGGTTGGTAGAATCGAGTATCGACGTGCGCGAATCACAGGGGCGCATCGGTGTCATGTGACCTCGCAGGCGACGCCCCCCTCTCCCCGGCACAATACGAGAATTCACGCTAATTTTAGTTACGACGGAACGAATAAGCGATTCGCGTGGAGAACGTG